AAGGGTTGCCTGGACCGTACCCATGGAAACTTCCTTTCTCTGGGATCCCAAGACTGTGATGGATGAACATTCTTGGTCAGAGCACCAGGAGGAGGAGAGAGGAGGGACATTCACATCCAAATGGCACCCATCTCCTCACAGTCATGGCCAGGATCTCTCTCAGTGTGTCACTTCATCTGTATTTCTTGTTTGAACTTCTCACTCTCCTGCCCATTTCCTCTGGGATGACTCCCTCCTTCCTGAGAACCCGTTTGTCTTGGCTCTGTGTTCTCTGTTGAGTAGGGGCGGCAGCAGCATTTTCTCGTTCAGTTGTTGTCCAGTGCTCACAAGTATTGAAAGAGACCATCAGTGACATCTGAAGCCATTTGGCTGTCCTCAAATTTGAGGTTCCTCTTGCCCAAAAACCACTCTGTTGCCTACCTTCCCTGGCTTCTTAAACTCACTTTTCGTACCCCACCAGAGTTAAATATCTGAAGAAGCAGGCTTGAACATGGTCAAGATCCAAGGCTGTGTAAGTTTGTGTCCTGAAGTGCTGGTGAAATCATCTCCTGGTGTCATTAGCAAAGCTCATGGCCTCCAAACCCAGAGCTGAAGAAGGGGTGGGACTCCCCAGGGCCATCTGTATCTCCAAAAGCATCCAGGTACTGACTCAGGCAGGAGCTGTGGTCAATAGATTACCTCTGCAGAGTAGACCTTGTGAAGGGAGTTTTTAAAACAATCCCAACATCTTGCTCTTGACTAGTGGGTCTAAAAACACTGAGGCCCAGGAGATCAGAACTACCCCTGCTTCAGAGTCTCCAGCTAGTGTTTCCAGGACAGCTTTAGGCCTCTGCTGTTGGCACCATGGAGTGTCCAGAATCACTTTCTTAGGATATGGATTGGAGAAGGGAAGACAGTCATGAGGAATCTGGAGAACTCCCACCCCAGGTCTTACTGTGAGGAGAGGATCTGCAGTGTCTTTCTGTTGACCCAGCACCAGCCCCTTTGTCCAGTCACCCAGTGCCCACAGTTGAACACCAGCTCCTGCTTAGCCAAAATGATGCCCCTCTTCTTATCCTTAAACATTCCACATTTCCTCTGTCCAGGTGTTAAGCTCTTCTTCGCTCTTGAGAGGCTGCTCCCAGACTCTGGATCTTGGTGGCCTTAGAGTCACCACACTGTCTCAAGACCGAACACTTTGTATATATCACACGCTGCCTGAGTCACTAGTACATACACAGTGGCTCCCTCACCACCCTTTGTTTTTTCTGGAATTAATCATCACTCTTCTCTTCCTTCTCCTTTAATTCATTTCCTGTGTCTTTATTACTAATAAACTACAAGTTCTTTTAGTGATCAGCAATCTCAAGACAGTCATCGGTGCTGTCTCCTTTTATCTTGATGCCTCTGAAGTGACCTTGAACCCGAGTCATCGATTGACTCCTTGTGACCCTTGTTAGACCCCCTTTGTCATCAGACTGGGGGTTCTGGATTTCCCCCCTGAGGCCTGTAGCCGGGGCTAGCCTCAGTCTCATTATATGGCTGGCCTTAAACTTCCAGCCTGTACCTTCCAAATTCTGAGATTTCAGGTCAGTGCCACAATGCCTAGTTTATGCAGTGCTGGTGACTGAACCCAGGTTTCATGCATCCTAGGCAAACATGCCCCTCAGCTACATCCCCAACTTATGACCCTGTTTCTGGGACCCTGTGTTTCCTCTCCCAATTGGTCACACATTATCTGATAACTTCCTGAGGTGAGTGTGGAAGTCAATTTTTGTTTTAAATCTTCAGTATCTAGAAGTGTTTATCTCACTTGTATACTTAAGGGATTGGCTATAAGAGTCTTCAAAATAGTTTTCCTTTAAAATGTCAGAAGATTGCTTTACTGCCTTTAACTCCGATTCAGAATTCCCATGGGGCACTCTGCCTCATGATCTTTCCCAGTGGCCTGTTTCTGTTTACAGGGGGTTGGGAGGGTTGGAAATCTTATCTATATCCTTACTCCACGTACTAGCACATTCCACAATGAGTGACATGTTTGAACACCTCCCTCCCCCGACACACACACACACACACAAAACATACATTCGTACATAAAATTAAGGGAGAACACCTCCCTCCCCCGACACACACACACACACACAAAACATACATTCGTACATAAAATTAAGGGAGAACACCTCCCTCCCCCGACACACACACACACACACAAAACATACATTCGTACATAAAATTAAGGGACTGGACAGGATCTCAACTTGTAGCCCTCGATAGTCTGGAACTCACTGTGTAGACAGGGCTGGCCTCAGACTCACAGATTTAAAGGCTTATGCTGCCACACCTAGGGGAAGGAAAAATTATAAAAAACAAAACAACAACAAAAAAAAAACACCTGAGGCAACCTAGAAAAAGTTTATTTTGGCTCACACAGTTCTGAAAGTGCAGTCCATGATCAGTGAGTGGTCTCAGTGCTTTTGGCTTCTGTCATGGCAACATATCCTGGTAGGTGTGCTTGACAGAGCAAGTCACATATCTCATCAGTTGGGAAACAATGAACCAGGCTCCCATAGTCCTCTTCCAGAGCACACCCCAGTGACCTCAAGACATCCCACCCTGCGAACCAGTCATTTAACATGGATTGTTCAGAGGCCTTGAACATCAGAACTGTCACAATAGACACAAAACACAAAGGCCTGGGATCACCTACTTTATTAGGACATTGAAAACCTAGATAAATGACCTGAGGGGGCTTTGGGGCCCACCCACAGTTGATGAGCTCCCAAAACATATCCAGCTTTGTGTCCAAAAGTTCCTATAAATTAATGCAAGCTGAACAGTCCTGGTTTCCCTATAGTGATCATTTTGAAGCTTTTATGGGGTTTTGTTTTTTGTTTGTTTTTTCCCTTCTAAATCCCATTGGCTCGTAGCTTACTGATGTCTAGGGTGTAGCCTACCTTGCCTGCCTCTGGCTCTCCACTCAGAGGGAACACCATGTCCATGAACAGGACTACAAGGAGCTTAGTTTACTCAACACATCAATTAAGAAACACTCTACAAGATCCCAAGACACTAAACTCCAGTCTCACTTTTGTATGCTAGGGATAGGGCTGGGTTCCAGGGTGCTGGTGTCACTGCCACACTTCGTGGTTCCACCTCAGTCATTCAAAGTCAGGCAGGAACTTGCTTTCCAGGTGAGGTAGAGTGGAGAGAGAGTTGGCAATTGGTGCCCAGGTATGGAATGTTTGCAGGGTCTCGCACCCAGCCTGGTAGTCCAGGCCATGTCTACACTGTGAAGGACAGCTGTGTCCTCTGGTTCAGTACAAGTAGGTGCTAGCCAGCTGGAGCAAGAGCGTCATGGCCCAGTCGCTGTCCTTGGTCCCAGGGCCTGCTTTCCCCTTACCCTGGCCACCTCAGGGGCCACTCCCACGGTGCAGCTGACACTCAGGTGGACATTACGTCTTCGTAATCTGAGGGTCCAGAGTGGCCTCACACATACACTTCCAGGATGGAGCATCGTCCATGCTTGCCTGCTTCTTAGGCCTCTATTTCTGGAGGACAGATGTGACAACTCTGCTTGAGAATTTGCTTCTTAAAGTGAGGTGGCCAGACCACAGCACAGTACCTAGAAGCCTGTTAGAAGACAGAATCTTGGGCCCCACCCTAGACCAACCAAACAAAAGCCTGCATTTTAACCAGGTGTCTGGATGATGTTTCTACAGCAAGTTGAAGTAGGGATCAATAAAAGAACAGGCAAGTGCATGTGGGAGCAATTAGGGTCCAATTTGAAATCAAATGTTATTTTTGCTCTTCCCTTTCCTCTCCCAGTCCCTTTTTTGTGGTACTGGGGCTTTATGCATTCTAGGCAAGCAAGCTCTAGCAGAAAGCTATTAATACAGCCCTAGAACCCAGCCCCTCCCATCCCCCCTCCCAAAAAGGTCTCAGTAGCTGATACTGGCCTGGCACTCACTCCAAAGCTCAGGCTGACCTCGAACTTGTGGCAGTCAATCTGACTGCCTCTAGTTCTGGGATTGTAACTGTGCCACGACACACAGCAAAATGCTAGTTTTTAATATACAATATTTGTTCAAATCTACAGATATTCTAGCATAATTCTAGGCAAAGCTCAGGGGCTTAATATTTTGAATGAATATCTATACAGGTAGCTGACAACATGCATCAATCACTCTGTCCAGTACTGTGCTGAGCTCTTTGTATAAATTAATTTATTTAATCCTCACATGGATTTATAGTATAGGTTCTGTTATTGTTTACATTCTATGGTGGGGAGAAAAGGCTTAATAGACCCAAGATCCCAAGCAATCAGGGTCCAGGTGAATACATTTCATTGCTGTTTATGGCTATGGGTGGAATGGATAAATGGAACCCCCCACCCCCAAGAGCCCTTGCTGATTACCTGAATCTGTTTCCAGATGATGCATCAAGTTTTCTGAGGAAAGCGGAAAGAGAGATCTGTGAGGCTTAGTATCTCCTACAGATACTCCCAAGAAGGGGCTATCCTGGCTACAGTATGAGGGCAGGGACAGAAGAGAAATTGCCTCACTTTCCTGGACTCTCAGCCCAGTGCCTTGGACAGAGGAGGCCAAAATCTGGGGGATTGCTCTCTCAGTAGAATGAGATCTTTTTGTTTTGTTTTGTTGTTTTGTTTTTTTTTTTTTGTTTGTTTTTTTGTTTTTTTTTTTTTTTTTTT